TTCATTGAAGTTGAAATCGTTTCTACGTGTGATTGGAATTAAATAATTTATTTTGTTCAACGTTAACCTTGGAAGCTAGTGGCGTTCTTATCACGGATGCGATGAGTCAACTATTTCAATTCAACGTAACTACTACATAACACGACTTGACAAGTGATACGTAGGCTCGGTCAAGAGACTGAGACTTTCGTCCTGGGTTATTTAATTTGAGACACTAACAGAATCGATTTGGACCACACAACACCGCAATCATCCCGATGAGTTCTTAGGCGAGTACATGTATGCATCTCAGCAAACCGCGCAGGCCAGGTGATCATGGAGTATGGAATGGGCCCGGGGCCCGTAATCAACGCCGTCTGCCAGAACTACTGAGCAATAGATCAAAAACAAAGAAACGGGTGACGTACCGAATAAGTTCCGGTGCCTTGGAGAATAACTCGAAGGACCCAAAACTTTCACAAGGAAAGAGCCTATATGATAATATAAGACTGCGATCATCAGATCATGTTTGATGGTCGTTTCTAAGAGAAAGCTCACCTCTTCCCCTTCATCTTGCCAGGCCACCAGCTCAACGTTGTTGAGGCAAAACTGGGAAGGCAAACCACAACCACCACGTCGGCAGAAATGGATTTAGCTCGAGTCACCCTGTACATTATATTGAGAACGATAAATCGCCAACATGTTGAGGAAATCAGCTTACTGGCACTGCCACTGGCAACCAAGTTCGTCTCGCAAAGGTGGGGTCACAAGTATAGTAGTACTGGTTTCCCGAAAGAAAGGAAGAGAAGGGCTGCGGGGTTATATATGCGGATATTGTGTTTAGGGGAGGTCCATTAGAAACCTTGCTGGATCCAGCACTCGTTCTTGACAATCCACTAGAATTTTCTCGCCTGATCGTAGTAACTACGTCCAAAGCCATGCGTTCTATCGTATCAATACATATTTCATGTATCATGCACGACTTGTCTCAAGAAGTGAACCATGGAACACTGTATGTGAGTCACTACATTTCCGGTCCATCGTGACTGATGGAAAGGACCCTAATTTCACGCATCCAAACAGCAGGTCAAACCCTCAGGAGGTAGTGAACAGCATCGATGGCCTTTCTCTTTCGAACGATGATTGAAGGCCCTTTGTCTCTATCCTCGTTGGATGCCTCATGTTTGCCTAGATCCATATTCCCGAGGAATATCAGGGACCCGGACACCCTATTCAACCAGGAGTCATACTACATAGCCTCATAAAATGTGATTTCTTTGTCGAAGTCGAAGTCTTTGTGATGCTAAACGCCACGAGGCCGTTTGGAGAGCGCTCGGCCACACCAATACGTGGGTGGAATCTTGAAAGAATTTTTCTGGGCCCTGGCAAGTGAGTCTGTCCGTTTCTGGCGGCTGTGGCATTGCCAAGGTAGTATCGATCTAGTTCGAAACTACGGCCTGTCACATCTACCGACGCGGAGCTGCAACAGCAAACTGAATATATGTCACGTGTGACAAGTTTTACCAACACTCAGCAGCCCTCGCATCTCCTCTAGTGGTACTGTCAGAGCCTGAAGCCAAGACATCGGAAATTATGTGTGAGTGAAGGTGTTCAGCGTAAAATTGAACACGTCTCCTGACCGAACTTATGCTAGTGACTGGTGATGGACTTATATTATATTTGGACTACGAACTGTACAAGCATCGGTCGCCTACCGCTCATCTATATGATAGCCAAGGGCCTAGAGTATCGGACACATAACATCTGCGACTGAACCTGCATGGTATCTCGTCAAAAATATCCACCCAGGCGCTAGTAAACACGTTGACTGATACCCTAGGGCGCCTCAGGCTTTATCTTTCGAACGGGCTCCCGTCCTCATTGGATGCCCCATTTCTAAGATCCGCACACTCGGTGACCCATGGCCTTATAAATGCAACTTCTCTGACCGGGTCTGTCGCTCTTTGTGAGGCCGAACGTCATGGGTGCATGTGAAGAGCGCTTGACAGTGTCGATAAAGGCGAAAAGTTACGCCAGGACGTAAAAGAGCTCTTTTCCGTCTGGTTCTTGAGCCTCATGTTTCAATCTGAAACCGCGTTACAGCCTACTATTGAACTTACCGAGCCGTAGCAGCAGCATATTTATGTGCATGCTGCTTTTGCAAACCACTCAGCGGCCTTCGTCTCCATCCTGGTTTTGCACACTGTTCTACCAGCGCTTGGTGATAAAAACGCGATTTTCCCGTGCTGATGGCCACAACCCTGCAGCAAGACTCCTTGCAAAATGACCATGTGTAAGCGAAGGCGTCTAGCTTAAAAGGCATCATCTCACCGTGCTACGCAAGCGACCATGTCCAGAATGGTGTATCCGTACACCACTCGACTCATGAATTTCAGGGGTCACCACAGAACAATGAGTTCATAATCGACAGGTTCTGGACGTCTTATAAACAGGCTGCAACAGAGTACGATCGTGAGTTTCTAGAGCGGAACAACAGCGACATGGACATCATACTCATTTCTGTAAGCTACCGAACGCTTTTGGAGCATGTATTTGGCTAACAAAATCGTAGTCTGGTCTCTTCTCCGGTGTCAATACCGCCTTTATTATTGCCATGCAACGCAACCCCACGATCCCCTTGTTGTGGCAGCTCGTTCAGAACACATCATCCAATACCGCCATCTCACCTCTCGCTGTCTCAGCAGCAAATTCGCCAAATACTATGTGGTTTCAGACCTTGGCATACGTTGCATTGTCACTCAACCTTCTGGCCGCTTTTGGGGCTGTCCTCGGTAAACAGTGGCTCAGCCATTACAAATTAAACGCTCGTGGAGAGGACAGACAAGAAAAGTTAGACGGTTTGGAAGCATGGCACTTCCACGATGTACTGCTATCATTTCTTATGTTACTACAAATCTCGTTCTTTCTATTTGGGATCGCTCTCTCAGCCTTCGTATGGGACCGTCAAGGAACTGCGGCACTCACTATTATCGTGTTGATGGCGTTCGGCTTATGTTTTTACACATTCATTGTCTTCGCCTCCTTAAAATCCCCGCAATGTCCCTTTCAAACCCCTACTTCAGTATTCCTTTGCTTCATCGGGAGGCGCGTCCAAGTCGGAGTCGCAGGATGGAAAAAGAGCAAGGAGACGTATTCATCACACGGCCCTGGAAAGTTCATGGAGAGTCAGAAGACGCTGTCCGTGGCACGATCGATGAAGTGGATATTCAACACTTCTGCAGATCCAGAGATGATCACTTCGGCTGCTTGGCTGCTGCCGACCATCAAATCCATCCACCAGATGGTCGACATACCAGCTACACACGCACGATTGCTACAAACTTTCGCGGCGTGCTTTTATGATGATGCCCTGCTCAGTCATTCGGCACGCCAAAGAGCTCTTGCATGCGGGAGAGCCTTGCACCATCTAATATGCAATAAAACCCTCGAGACCGTCATTCCCTCAGATTTCATGCGCTTTGATGATTGGACTGATTGGCGTCATCTCAGTCTTCCCTGGGGACTTAAAAGGTGTGAAGAAGCTTTTGCCAAAAAAAAGAAATACACCGCAGCTCTAGATAAAGATTACGAAGATAAAGCACGCGATTCCTTGCGCCTGGCCATCGTGACTGGCTGCCCAGGATTTTTGCAGCCAACCGATACTGCATTGATCTGGGATGGTGTTTTCGACTGTAAGGCCCCGCGTACTGCAGAAGACTTTGATTGGCTCGTGGACTTCCTGGTACACCTCCGGAAGTCCGGAACGAGGGATTACGAGGCCATGGGAGACGCGCTGCTCGCACTGAGTGCCATGCAGGATCTGGGAAGTGTCACCAGACGAGATGGTTACCTTGACGCCATCATTTTTGCTATGGAAGCAGATAAACCATCCCGGCTTCGTCACGCAGCCCTTCGAGCTATATTCGATGCCCGTCTCCAACTAGTGGAGCAGGAGGAGGGAGAATTTCGGGAGAAGTTATTAAAGGAACTCGCGCCAGCTCTGTTCACCGCAACCAGACCTATCGCGCCACAACTATCTGATGATGAACCGGACGCTGTCTTTAATCCCAGACGTGACGGCTGCTATCTACGACTAATTTTCACTCTGGTAAAGCAAAGTGATTGGCGTGCTCATTTAGTGACAGCTGGTCACATTGAGCGATGCACATCTTTGCTAGACCATGTCACCGAGAAATCGAAATTGTCTATACCTCATCCTTACTATCTTGCAGCCATATTGATACGGATGAACCCCTCGGGGGGTGATCCAAGCTCGTTGGGGCGGGCTACCTTGGCCTCTACTCTGGAATCTGAATCTACGAACAAGAAAGAATGCAATCACACTACAAACCCTGCAGCCACGCGGGCAGCCCCAGAGGTTCCTACTCTGCCAAGCTTTCTGGATAATATATCTGAGAAGGACCGGTGGAGGCTGCTCAAAGAAGCATGGTGGGCGATGCGTTGGAATGACCTCCACCTCGAGAAAGAAGCAGTTGAAGCACTGCCTGGCATTTCCACGTACACTCTCGGTTTCCTGGAAACACCGATTGCTCGATATGACACGGGGAGTCTCATCCGACCGGTGGATTGGATATACCGTGCACTCGGTGAGGGTGAAGCGAAGTTGAAAGTGAAATGCCTACTGGATGCACTCTGAAATAATCAACGTTCATCACACGCAAGCTGAATACCAGTTACAGTTAGACAACGTGCAGTATCACTTTCCTATGCAAAGGTATATCCTTTGTTGTAATTATATCACTTGTTACAGACAAGTAACTCGAGGGTTGGTCATTTATTTTGAAATACAAGTCAGCTCTCGCGCTCGCGTGCGGAAAGATTTCGACTAATACTTAGATGGTATGGTCTCTTCCGTGGAAGATCATGTTAACAGCAATCACACTGGTTTGAAACGAAATGAATATTAAAATGATTCATCTTCCCTGCGGCGGCACTTGTGCAGTGCTTTATTCCCCATGAATCATTTAGTCATCCTGGAATGCGTAAGTTGAGCAAAAGCAATGGCCGACGATCCCATAGGACTAGTTAAAGGATTCTCAGGTAGCGCTGGCACTATTGTGGGGTGCGAGTTCGTAGAATACATTAACAAGGGAAGTCAGGAGAATCCCAATCAGAAAACTTTGTTGGCCAGGTGAGTAATGTCGAAGAACGACTCGGGTGAACGTTGAAAATGGCCGAACCATAAGTAAAAAAAAGCACGTGACTTAAGCTGAACTCAGTGACTTGTGAGTCTGACACTTTGCCATACTACTTGAGGTCGGATCGACCAGCGGACATACTGTACAAGCAGATAGGTCGCCTACCGCCCATCTATATGATAGCCAAGGGCCTATATTATCGGACATTCCATCCGCGACTGGACCTGCATAGCACCTCCTCAAAAATGACAATTTGGCAGGCGCTAGTAATACAGCGCCTCAGGCTTTATCTTTCGAACGGGCTCCCGTCCTCATTGGATGCCCCATTTATAGGATCCGCACAGTCGATGACCCATGGCCTTGTAAATGCAACTTCTCTGACCGGGTCTGTTGCTCTTTGCGAAGCCGAGCATCATGGATGCATGTGAAGAGCGCTCGACAGTGTCGACAAAGGCGAAAAGTTACGCTGGGACGTAAAAGAGCTCTTTTGCGTCCGGTTCTTGAGCCTCATGGTTCAATCTGAAACCGCATTACAGCCTATTTAACCCACCGAGCCGTAGCAGCAGCATATTTATATGCATGCCACTTTTGCAAACCACTCAGCGGCCTTCGTCTCCATCGTGGTTTTGCACACTGTTCTACTAGTACCAGTGCTTGGTGCGACTCTCCCGTGCTGATAGCCACAACACTGAAAGAAGACTCCTTGCAAAATGACCATGTGTAAGTGAAGGCGTCTCGTTTAAAAGCGTTATCTCACCCTGTGTGTATCATATTTCCGCCGGTTCACCGTGACTGATAAAAAGAAATATGAATTTCAGGCATCCAAACAGCAAATCAAAGCTTCAGGAGGTAGTGAACAGCATCAATATTTGTGACTTCTCTGTCAAAGTCGGTCATTCTCTGTTATGCTAAATGCCATGTGGCCGCGCTGCACCAGTACATGAATGGAATTTTTAAAATATTTTTCCAGGCCCTAGCAAGTGAGTCTATCCAGTTTTGCGACTGCGGCATTGCCGAGATAATATTGATCCAGTTCGAAACTACAGCCTGTCATCTACCGACCCGGAGCTGCAGGAGCAAGCTGAAGATGTATGACGGGTTCTGCCAACCACTCAGCACCCCCCATATCTTCTCTGGCAGTACTGTCACAGCGTAAAGCAACCAAGACTCGTCGCGAATTACGTGTGAGCGAGGGCGTTTAACATAAAATTAAACAAGTCCCTGACCGAACCTCATATGCTAGTGACTGGTGCTGGACTTATAATTGGACCTAAAACTGTGCAACTTGAAGCGTAGGTTGCCTACCGCCCACCTATATGATTAACAAATGGCCTGGAATATCGGACATTTCATAATATCTGCGACTGGATCTGCATAGTACCTCAAAGATATCAATCCAAGCGCTAGTAGACATGCTGACTGATACCCTATGGCGCATCATGCTTTATCTTTCAAACGGGCTCCTGTCCTCACTGGATGCCTCATCTCTACGATCCATACACTCGGCGATCCATGGCCTTATAAATTCAACTTCCCTGTCCGAGTCTGTCACTATCTGTGATGCGAAAATGTCATGAGGGCATGTGAAGAGCGTGCGACAGCATCAATAAATGCGAAAGGTTATGCCAGGACGTAAAAGAGCGCTTGGCCACCTAGTTCTTGAGCGTCATCGGTTCAATCTGAAACCGCACTACGGCTTATCGAACCTATCGAGCCGCAGGCGCCAGCAGCATCATTTATATACATGCCGGCTGTTTTGCAAACCACTCAGCAGCCTTCGTCTCTACTCGGGATGTTAAAATGGCTGAAGCATCAGTAAAAAAAGCACGTGACTTAAGCTGCACTTTGCCGAAGCGTAGATGGCCAAATATAAAAATTCATTCATGCCGACCAGCGGCTGATACTTACATACTGTACAAGCATATAGGTCGCCTACCGCCCATCTATATGATAGCCAAGGGCCTAGCTTATCGGACATTCAATCCGCGACTGGACCTGCATAGCACCTCCTCAAAAAATGACAATCCAGGCGCTAGTAAACACGCTGACTGATAGTACCGTACGGCGCCTCAGGCCTCAGGCTCTATCGTTGAACGTTCAAGAATGCTCATGTCCTCATTGGATGCCCCATTTTTAGGATCCGCACACTCGGTGACCCATGGCCTTATAAATGCGTCTTCCCTGTCCGGGTCTGTCGTTCTCTGTGATGCCAAATGTCATGAGTGCATGCAAAGAGCGCTCGACAACGTCAATGAAATGATGCCAGGTCGTAAAAAAGCGCTTGTCCGTTCTTGAGCGTCGTCGGTTCAATCTGGAACCGCATTACAGCCTATTGAACCTACCGAGCCGCAGGCGCCAGCAGCAGCATATTTATATACATGCTGGCTGCTTTTGCAAATCACTCAGCGACCTTGGGCTCTATCGCGGTCTCCTTACTTGCATACTATTTAACCAGCACTTGGTGATAAAAAACGCGGTTCTCCTGTACTGATGGCTACAACACCGAAGCAAGACTTCTTGCAAAATGACTATGCGTAAGTAAAGGTGTTTAATGTGGAAAATCGATCGTTGACTAAATACAATATCAGAACACAGGAAATTCTGCAAAAAATCCTCACGACCTTGGAGGACTCGAATATAACGGAGAAAGGGAACAAGGACACATATAACAGGTTCTGGGCGTCTTATAATCAGGCTGCAACAGAGTACGATGGCGAATTTCTAGAGCGGAACAGCAGCGACATGGACATCGTACTCCTTTCTGTAAGCTATCGAATGATTTTGGAGCATGTATTTGTCTAAGAAGATCGCAGTCTGGTCTCTTCTCCGCTATCAATACCGCCTTTATTATTGCCATGCAACCCAACACCACGACCCCCTTATTGTGGCAGCTCGTTCAGAACACATCATTCAATACCACAATCTCACCTCTCGCTGCCTCAGCAGCAAACCCGCCAAATACTATTTGGTTTCAGACCTTGGCATACATTGCATTGTCGCTCGACCTTCTGGCTGCTTTCGGGGCTGTCCTCGGCAAACAGTGGCTCAGCCATTACAAATCGAACGCTCGTGGAAAGGACAGACAAGAGAAGTTAGATGGTTTGGAAGCATGGCACTTCCACGCTGTGCTTCTATCATTTCTCATGTTACTGCAAATCTCATTCTTTATCTTTGGGATTGCTCTCTCAGCCTTCGTATGGAATCAGCAAGGAGCTACAGCAATCGCTGTTATCGTGGTGATGGCTTTCGGCTTGTTCTTTTACATATTCATTGTCGTCGCCTCCTTGAAATTCCCGCAATGTCCCTTTCAAACTCCTATTTCAACATTCCTTCGCTTCATTGGGAGGCACCTCCGAGCCCAAGTCACGGCGGGCTGCAAAGGGAACAAGGAGATGTATTCGTCATACGACCCTAGAGAGCTCAAGGAGAGTCAGGAGATGACCTCCCCGGCACGATCGATGAGGTGGATATTCAACACTTCCACAAATCCAGAGGTGATCAGTTCGGCTGCTTGGCTGCTGCCGACCATCAGATGGACCCCTGAGGTGAACATGACAGCTGCATGCTCACAATTGCTGTCTACTTTTGCGGCATGCTTTCATGATAATGCCCTGCTCAGTAATTCGGCACGCCGAAGAGCTCTTGCGTGCGGCAGAGCCTTGCACCATCTCGTATGCAATGAATCTATCGAGACCGTCATTTCCTCGGATTTCATGCGCCTTGATGACTGGACTGATTGGCGTCACCTCAGTCTTCCCTGGGGACTTGAGAGGTGTGAAGAATCTTTTCGCCAGTACGCCACAACTTTCGATGAAGATCACGAAGATAAATCACGTGATTCCTTGCGCCTGGCGATCGTGACTGGCTGCCCAGGATTTTTGCAGGCAGCCGACGTTGCATTGATCTGGGATGGTGTTTTCGACTGGAAGGAGGACTCGCGTACCACAGATGACTTTAATTGGCTCGTGGACTTCCTGGTACACTTCCGGAAGTCCAAAACGAGGGACTTCGATGCCATGGGAGATGCACTGCTCGCATTGAGTGCCATGCGGGATCTGGGAAGTGACACCAGACGAGACAATTACCTTGACGCCATCATCTTCGCCATGGAAGCAGATAAACCATCCCGGCTTCGTCACACGGCCCTTCGAGCTATGTTCGATGCCCGTTTTAAACTAGTGGAGATAGTTGAGAAGGAGAAGGGAGAATTTCGGGAGAAGTTATTAAAGGAGCTCGCGCCAGCTCTCTTCACCACAACCAAACCTATTATGCCACAGCGCTCTGACGATGATGATCCAGACGCGGTCTTTAATCCCAGACGTGATGACTGCTATCTACGACTAATTCTCACTCTGGCAAAGCAAAGTGATTGGCGTGCTCATTTAGTGACAGCCGGTCACATAGAGCGATGCACATCTCTGCTAGACCACGTCATCATGGACTCGACGTTGTCCGTCACAACTCATTCTTACTATCTTGCAGCCATATTGATACGGATGAACCCCTCGGGGAGTTATCGAAGCTCGTTGGGGCGGGCTACCCTGACCTCTGCTCTGGATTCTGAACCTACGGACAAGGAAGAATGTCGTCCCACTACAAACCTTGCAGCCATCCTCCCCGCAGCCCCAGAGGTTCTTGCTCCACCGGGCTTTCCGGACAATATGTACGAGAAGGAATGGTGGGATCTGCTCAAAGGAGCATGGTGGGCGATGCGTTGGAATGACCTCTACCTTGAGAAAGAAGCAGCTGAGGCACTACCTGGCATTGTCACATACACTCTCGATCTCCTGGAAACACCGAGCGCTCGATATGATACGAGGGGCCTCGTTCGATTGGTGGATCGAATATACGAGATGCTCGATAAAGATGAAGCGAGGTCGGAAGTTAAACGCCTACAGGATGCGCTGAGAAAGAAGGTAGCGTAGTTCATCACACGCAAGAGTCAGATGATGTACAGTATCACATTCCTATGCAGACCAAACAGAAGGCATATCCTTTGTTGTTATTATATCACTCGATAGACAAGTAACTCGGGGGTTGGTTATCCATTTTGAAATCCAAGCCAGCTTTCCCGCTTACGTGCCGGGCAAAGTTGTGCATGATCGTTGGCTGAAAATGGGTCGAAAGCCCAGGTATCTCTCTGAGCAAAAATAGGTCATGACATGTGCGCATTTTTCCTTAGGTCGAACCATTGTCTCTTTGGCAAAACACAATCCTTCATTGAAGTACCAGAGCTGCCCATGCACCTGCCCACATATACATCCCGATGAACTTGGAAGCCTGGCAAAGTCGTGGTTAAACTCCCTGAAGGTATCAGTCAATCAGACAAGGGTTATTTCTTGAGTTCCCTAAATTACAAACAGTCAGATCGTCAGATCGTTTTGTCAAAGTTCTGTTCCTTCATCTTGACAATGACAACAACTAGCATGCCAACATCCCACGTTCAAGTCCACCATATGATCGAAGATGTACCATGCCAGAAAGGCTTCAAAGTGCTGGGTAGATTAAGACCCACTGGCGTGCCTTCTTCGTCGAACCTTGCACCATTCTCGATAAGAGTAACGACCAGACGGGGGATGGCAGCTGCGGTGCCATTTAAAGTGTGGGCGAATGGTACCGCAGGTGCTGACTGAGTCGAAGCGGATGAGGACGCTGGTGTAGTATGCCTGTGCGTACCTGACGACCGACGGTAGCGGATGTGGAGGCGACGGGCCTGGTAATCAATACAATTAGATGCGGAAGAGATTTCTCCCCAACTCCCTCGACCTGGCATCCACGCTTCCATATCATATTTGCGGTACGCGCTAGCACCTAATTCTTCGGTAGGCATATCCAAAACCCTTGTGTCATAATGTCAGAGTAGGGGCCTCGGTCTAATGTTGTTACTTACCGAAACGGAAAATTTAGGCCTTCAAAAATTTCGGTTTGCACACTACGAAGTTCTTCCATCATTTGTTCACTCGCGTCTTCACTACAAACAACGAAAAGCTCAAGCTTCGAGAATTGGTGAACTCGGTACAGTCCGCGAGTGTCTGCGCCGCGGGCACCTGCCTCAGCTCTGAATGAACGGCCAAGACCGACCACTTTCAAAGGCA